GTTGAATTTTAATAAATACTTTTTACATAGAATATTCAAAATCTCAGTGAATACTTAAGATTAAGATTAGGCAATTATTTTGTTAAAAATAGGCACGAACTTAATTAACATTGGATCGCATAAGATGGGCTTTCCTACAGTGATATGAGCATTCCTCATGACCTCGTTTAATTTCACTTATTTTTTCTAAATATATTTTTATTCAAGATGGAATACGGTTTCGACTCATCCAAAACGGGAATCAAGCTCGGGTAGTACGGTGTATTATTTCGATTTTACCAGTAAGCTATACTGCAACAAATTCCATCGATTCACTGGATAAGCGGGAATTTTAAAAAGAACCAGGCCTCTTCGATATAATTATTTTATAGTCTGATTTTCGGTAAGGTAAACTTGTATTTTGGCTTTAAAATCGATTACATTACTTACATTCATTGTACGTAGGTTTTGATACTATTATTTGATCTCAGGTAAGAAGTGTGTTCACGCTATGTAACATCAGGTGCTGAAGGACTTTTTATCGATTGCGCATTTTTAACTTGGGATTGAGCAATTAAGAATTTATCTTTAATCAGCTAATAATAGATAGAGAAAACAATCTTAAATCGTATTAAAGTTTGCATTAGATATAGAATAATATTCTGAATTAATACTGGGATAAAGGCTTGAAATTATTTAGTTAATGAAGAATAGATCTCGATAATGGGTCATAGTTCCCTCTAAAAGATGGCATAGGAGAAGAAATTGTGTGGGTCTCTTTAAACACTCAAGTTATCTGCTCTGTGATGCTTCTTACACAACTCCCAATCGTGTAACATGTTAGATTAAGTTCATCAACTAAACCAGATGTACGAGATTACGCAGCCCCAGTCATGCCTTTCCTTGTGTGGTTATACGTTAATGACAACATCTCAATCATACTTGCTTACGGACTTGGTCAGGGCTTATTCTTGGGTTAGTAAGCCTTGATGACCAGGGCCTGACATTAGCCTTTTTGGACACTAGAAACAAGGGAGGAGGTCTCATGGACTGCGTCAACATGAACGTCGTTGTAGAGCCAAACGGCTTCAATACAACGGGCTTCAGCTGTCCTCTTCTGGTGATACCGACCTTCGAATCTCTTTTTCATGAACTTTCATACGAAATGAAAATCTCTCCAACAATGACTTCTAGCAATATTTTTAGCCTTCATCTTAGCGTGTATTTTTGTGTACTCTTGTTAATTTTCTTACCCTAGCAACTAGGAGAATATCTGCGGCTTCTAATCGACGAACGTGACAATTTTCTTTTGTCTCCTCGAGCTGACATTGTTTTGGCTATGGATAATCCTTCAACTGCAATAAAATCCCCTACATCAAAGTCATCACCTACTATTCCTACCTCATTCGGTCTTCGGGTTTTATCGCCTGCCGCCAGCCAGCAATCATTTGTAGGGCCAACGAATTTTCAACCGCAGCAATCATCCTTGACATCTGCGGCATCTTCGTCAGCTTCTATAACTTCCACGCCCATTTCATTGGAGTCTGGGCAGTCGATGCACACTTTCGAGGAGCTCTACCTACCTGGAGCTCTGCTACTTAACGATGAGGGCGTCGCTTTATCGGGAATTTTAGTTGGCCTGTCAGTCATAGACTTTTGCTGTGGCCTTAAAGACTCACTCTATATGATGGACAGACCGGTAAATACCTTTTCACTATCAAACTAGTTCTAGTAAAATTTACTTCTGACCTTTATTCTGCTTTCATTACGTCCTTGAATATGCCTTCCTGCGAACTAACTCAAAAACTACGAACAATATTGAGTAATGAGGGAGAAATCAACATTTTTCACAAGTCTACCAACGCAACATGAAAGGGTAGACAAATTGGACTGTTCGGGAGTTTACTGTATGCAGCGGCTGCAGACAGAAATCTATTGGCGAAACAGGGAGAAAAATTAGCACACGAATCAAGGAACATCATAGGCTCTGCAGAGAAAGATCAGAATAAGCGGAACACATCGCACGGACTGGACACGAGATCAATTGGAAAGCAACAGAAAGGAAAGCTCCATATGGTGACAAAACAAGGAAGCGGAAGATTAGGGAGACCATTGACACCCTTGGGGATACAAATCTAATGGACAGGAGATTGGAGGAAGGTAGAGTTAACGATAACTTTGCCTACTTCCTAAGCAAAATCGGAGAAAACAATAGAACAAGACCAGCAAAAAGGATACGCTTGGAGCAAGGATCTGCCACTAACCAGAGGAAAATGGCTTGTGAGGAGGAAAGAGGGGGGGCGGGGTTATTCGGAAATTAAGAAAAGACGTTGTCAGTGTGTGAGGGTCATTTGAATAAACCAGTACAACTTTGGGGGCCTGGCAGTTAGGGGGCGGGGCAGGCGGATAAGCACACCGTCATAGAAATTGGGGTTCTGTACAAAATGCACTAGAAATCCACTTGAGATGCCACATGCGACCAGAGATAGGCGTCCACATTTTGCTGAGA